AGACCGCGCACTCGCCGTTCATTGGCTAAGAGATTCGCTTCCTCGCCCCTGATTGGTTGAAGGAGATTTCTTCCTGGCGTCCCATTCGCCAAGGAGAACCCCTTGCTTGCCTCCTATTGGCTACGAACCGCAGATATGCAAATAAACTGTGACGTCACATTTGACTACCTTGGGCTATATATCTTTGTAATTCAATCGTAAGTAACTATTTCTCAAACCTTACACTAGTTTGCCCGAAATTACTTTTATATTCAACACTACATATAGACACATATGAATACTACGTAAAAACGGGAAATAATCCAATTCAACAAGAACCAAAAAATTAAAAGGTGTTAGGGTTGTCTTCCGCCGGCCCGGGTTGGAACCAAAAAACAGTTCATTCTTCTTTATAATTGTTGTTTTGTTCGTTGTTCTTAGCGCAGGATTTTATTCTTGGGACGCGATACACTTCGTTTTAGCTTAGAAACCGACGCGGAAGAAGGAGTCTGGCGTGGAATGTGCGAAATAAGGAGCGGAGAGGAGACATGCCCAATGTACTGGTAGGTTTTAATTAATTTCGTTTTTCTCTTTTTCTCTATCTCTCTCTATATATATTTATGTAATTATCTTTATTTGTTTTATTTATTGTAGATTTGGTGCGGTATTAGGGTTTACATGTTTTTTTATGATACGGTATTTGTCTTGGTGTTTTGCTTCAGAGGGAAAAAAGGAAAGAAAATGTTCGTTTTTTTATTTGAAATCTTTCGACAGAACTTTTATTTTTGAGGCTTGTTCTTTTTTTCCCTTTCCTATAGTTTACATTGATCTAGTTCGTTCCGCTTGAAATGAGAAACTACATGAAATTTAACGAAAAGCATCGAGTCCGAAAAGGCGATCGTTCTCCTTGCTTCCCCGTTGGAGGATGGTGTATAAGCGTTTTTTTTTTTGTTTGTTTGTTTTTTTTCGTTCTCTCATCGACACTTGTTGGGAGTTATAGTCCTGCATAAATAATTAACTAGTGAGAGCCATGTTGATACGAGGGTACTTAGGCCTATTAGCAGATGGCAAGGGTACTTAGGCCTATTAGCAGATGGCAAGGGTACTTAGGCCTATTAGCAGATGGTTTGTGTTGGCTGATGCATTTTTTTGGATAATTAGGTGGCTGTCCTTCAGACTGGGCATAACAGTAGTCCACTGGCTATTGTTACGAGGATCCTTACAGAGCCTTCCATTGGAGAAAGCTGAAAATGGTCGCTAACAATATTCCAGCAAAACTGGGGAAAGGAACAGTTCTGTTAATTTTCAGACCTTGACAGCTATTATTAGATAAAAAAAAAAAGGAAAGTGCTTGTGTGTACTTTTATACAAGGAACTCAAGATCAAGTGAATCTGCTAAAAGAAAAAAAAAAGTACTTGGAATCGGACTTTTAAATAAGACTTGGTCTTTATCATTGACTATTCATGCCAGCATGGTGGAAGGAATTACCAGCATAGGCCTTTCATAGGATCTAGGTTAGGTTAGGTCAGGTCTAACCTAAGACCCAACTTAGTTATATAGCCATTATGAATGTTGGGAAAACTGTCAACCAAGAGTACAGTAAAATAAGTGTATGGAATGGATACCTTGACATAAACTAAGCCACTTTTCATCTATGGCAAAAGGTGAGCAACTCTAAAATAAGGGAGATACAGGACAGAAGACAGAAGATCGACCCTTCATTTTCTAAGTCCCCTTCCATGTTTACCTCGCGAGGATCAAAGCAAATGTGACACGTAACTTATTACTGCGATCTATCTAGTACAGGTATTGCTACGCACTTGTGAGAACGCTTATTTTGTCATTACTAGCGCCTGTTTCTCCAAATTCATGTATGTAATGCATTCTTCTAGTTTTATGATGCTTTGGTTAATTTTCCAAAAATGACAATCGGGTCTTCCAAGACAATATTTATGTCATCAGGTTTGTTCTCGTGTGATGAGAACAAATCTCATGATATCTGTCGCATTCTCCAGCCAATAATCTTGATGTGATTTTCTAAGTCCTGATAGCAGGGGAGGGCAAGGAGTAGATCAGTGAAATTACGGGGTAAAACAGGCTGAAATAAGAATAGTAGAGAACAAGAATATGTAAAACAAGGACAAAAAAATGCATGAAATCGGCTAATGAAATGTCACCGCCGTCTTTTAAAGTCTACGGGCCGATGTGCCAACTTAAAAAAAAAAGCTTTGGGAACCAAACCCACTGTTCGTTTAAAATGTACGGGATTTCACATAATCCAGATCGTACAATGGTTTCCAAATATTACGCACTATGTATATTGTCGGATGCTTTCGGCCACATTATATACTTGCTTGCTTAAATCACTGAGTGATTTTTTTTTTTTTTTTTTTTTTTTATTAACGTATTAACATAATTATGAAAAAAACTCACTAATGAACACTATTGAGATTTATAACACTTTCATTTTTTGAAACCATATAATATGGGGCGAAATTTTCTAATTCATAGGAACCACAT